TTACAGGAGACCCGACGGTTCCCTGGGCCATAGAGTGTACCGCAAATCCACCCATATTAACCTGTAGCTTAACGCTGCATCCCACCACCACCCTTCCAACAAGCAAGCTGCACTTTCAACACTGGTGCACAGGGCTAGAGCATTGTGTGATCAAGACAGCCTAAATGCAGAGTTGGTGCTCCTGAAGGATGTATTCAAGAGGAACGGATACAACAACCGGCAGATCTACAGAGTTCTCAACCGTCGGCCCAACATCAGCCGGCCTGAAGACAAACCGGGCTCTGTCGCCTTCCTTCCCTATGTCGGGACAATATTCAGCCGTATCAGCAGAGTGCTGTCCCGGCACAACATCAAAGCAGTGGGTCTGCCTCCATACAAATTATCCAATTTCCTCCGGCCGGTTAAAGACAGCCTGGGCCTAAGCACACCGGGTGTATACAGTATCCCATGCGAGTGCGGGAAGGTCTATATTGGGCAGACAGGCCGCTCCGTGGACATGAGGTTGAAGGAGCATCAGCGGCACATCCGTCTCGAACAACCGGACAAGTCGGCCGTAGCTGAACACAGCATCGATCTGGGACNGCCTTCAACCTTGCCTTTTTCTCCCCTACACAAAAACCACGCTTGTCCTAGCTCCCTTCCCCTATCCCTCCCACACTACTGCTTTCACTTGTATACTTGCCCTTCCCCCTTCTCCCTCACTGCTCTCACATAGCTGTGTATTTTTCCGCAGTCTGCTTTTACCGGTTCTCACGGTCTCTTTGCTTGCAGATTTCTAATATATTTTTTCTTCTACCCTGAAGATGGAGGCGATACGTTCCTCTGAAACGTCGGTTAACATCACATATACACGGTGCCAAATCCCAGAAGACTGCTTTCTTCAACCACTTGTTTGTTTGCTTTATTCATAGCCACACCATATCATCTTTGTGGTATGTTATCATAGTCAGCCTAACTGTGAGGTCACACGTTTATATTTTTAGACTGACTAGCAGAGCTGCAGGCACTTGAATGTTATGGTTACATGGCCTTCAAAATTAAGCTTACAGTTTGGCGTATGGTATACACGGCAAACCGCAGGTAGGACCATTTAAATACCAGCGTACCATGTACAACAAACCGCGCTGAAGGGTTAATTATTTTCTCATCTTGAGACATTAATTTAACTTTAGTGAGAGATGAAAGGGATATAGCTATACACACGATAATAGAGGTTCACTTTATAAATTGAGATGTCCCTAAAAAGTCATGGGAGGAGGGGTCACTTTCTTCAGAATCTTGTGTGTAGTAAAAGATCTCGGAATATGGAAGTTTTAAAATATCGGTCAGTTGTAGTCTCAGAATGTTGCATGGCATGAGTTAGGGTATAGCCCAATGTAAATGTTAAATAAATATATATATTTATTGCAATGTGAATACCCATTGCCAGGCCACAGCTCCGTAAACATGTTCCAACATGCAACAATAGAAGGATGTCTTGTATAGGCCATTCCCAAAATATGCACACTCATCACTAGGGGAAGCTGTTATCTTTTTGTCCCCACAACTGGCGCATGTGCTGTGATGTCACACAACAGTGCACAGTGTCATGTGATATGTGTTTTCTTTGAGGCATGTCTGTGCTGTGTCTTCATAAGTGAGCAGATTCTGAAGAAGCGGGCAGTGAGTGAGTGAGTGAGTGAGTGAGTGGGTGAGTTAGTGAGTAAGTAAGTAAATAAGTAAGTAAGCAAGCAAGCATGTAAGTAGTTGTTGGCAGGAGTATAGCAGTAAGCTGGAGGAGTACAGCAAACAAGCAGTAAGCTTGATGAGTACAGAAGAGTACAAGAAGTCAGCCTGTGAAGATTTAACATGTGATTTGAAGACGTTATGTGTGATATAGTGCAGTGGTATTGGGAGTGTGTGATTTAGCGAGACTTTTATAGTTCCTGTGTTATAAATCCATGAAGACTAGTGGAGATAGACTGAAAAGATTAGTGTGGAGTGCTTTGTAGTGTGAAAATTAATGACAGTGTTATAATTATTTGTAGTTATAGTATGTATTTGTAGTTATGGCCTGTAAGTGGTTAGTAAATCCAATTACCAATCCGAACCCCATCTTTAGTCACTGGAACTCGTGACAACTGGTGTTAGTGGTATGAATTGGATCAGAGTGATTGAGTGTTGGAACGAAGATCTATTTTACAGTGCCATCTGACAAAAATGGAAAATGTGGAATTCCTGAAAGCAATACTGGCTGAAATTATCGCCAACATGACAGCCGTGCAACAAAAAACGGACTACAACCAGACAAAGACAGTTGCCAAATGAGAAGAATTGATAGCAAATGTGGATGCCAACCAAGGAAGATTGGAAGCCCATAGGAAAGACAACCCAGAAAAACTAGAGGAAATAATGAACGCTAACCAGGCAAAGGCAGACAAATCTGAAGGAACTAAAGGAAGACATAAAGACCAACCAAGCCCAGATGGCCATAAATATAAAGGAAATAAGAGAAGAAATCCACTTCATCCAGACTGAGTTAGAGGAGACCATCCAACATCGAATAGAATATGTCATGATGTGCGTTAACCGCGAGACACAGAATCTCCATAAGGAACTAACAGAGAAAATTGAAGAAACACAGGTGGAATTTTATAGATGAGAATGGATGTTACCTCACTTCTCCAAACTCTTGCTAATTTTTGTTGTTTCTTACTGATGGTTCATGATCATTGCTGTAACATGAAGGTCTAAGAATTTCAGTCCCTGATAAAAAGCTTGATGGAGTATACAGATCCTCTTGAAGTTACATCCCCACTGGATTTGTAAGGCCGTGTTCCAGGGATAGGAGTTTTGCCAAGCATGTTGTACCTTTTCAGCTACTAGTGATTTTACAATTACATTTATGAATTAGGGTCCGATCCCAGAGTACATGCTTCCGTTCGAGGAGGAGGTGGGCCAACATCCAACTCTTGAAGACATGCAGGAGTGTGTAGTGCAGAAGAAAATGAGGCCTAGCATCAGAGAGACGTGGCGCAAACACTCAGTAAGTTAATTGTTCAGTCTTCAGTTCTGAATTTGCACTCCTTAATTAGGGCAGAATTTTGTCTTATTGCCAAGTGCTGGGGCTCATGAGAATCATAATGGCGGTGTATCTGGTATCCTAGTAGGAGGCTCATTGGTTGAAATCATCGGTATCTTGACATGTTAACTGCTGCACATCCTGGCAATCACTTGTTTTTCTTAGTGTGTTCTTGTGGTATGCATGCCAGTGTTTTACTGGATTCAACTTAAATGGAAAAAGAGGGTTTTTGTTAGGGCTCCTAGCATGAAGGCAAAAGATGCCCTTGTGTTTAATTAATTAATAGGCCATGGAGATATATGGGGGAGTGGAGGTGTAGCTCCACAATTCTTGACATGTAGGTAAGTGGTCAGCTTCTTTAGTCCCTGGGAAAGAGCCTCCAGTACCCATTGGATAGGAGGCTAGATGAGCCTTATATCTGGTCTGGATGCTGCGGAGCAGAGAAGAATCTCTTGCCTCTACCAGGAATCAAACCTTGACTGTCCAACCCATAGCCCACTCCTGTATGTACTGAGCTGTCCGGTTCCTAGCATTGAGAAAAGCCAAAATGTAGTATTAGGTTGGGGATGGAACGGTTTGTGTTGGACCACAGTTATCATATCTTATAAGTGAATCTTCTGAGACTTCTAAAATGTCTGAAGCTTTGGGGTGGACAGTTCTACTTCAGTGCGTTATGCAAGCACTTTACACGAACCTTTGGCAAGAAGAATAAAGGCTTGTACATCTGTAAGCATTCAAGTATTTGCTTTTCACTAATGTTTGGACAGCAAACAATAGACAAGTTTTATTGTTGTTGGGAACCTGGATAGCTCAGTCAATATTGCAATAGACTGTGGGCTGGACAGCCAAGGTTTGATTCTTGGCAGGGGCAAGAGATTTTTCTCTACTCCACAATATCCAGATTGGCCCTAAGGCCCACCCAGCCTTATATCCAGTGGGTACCACCAGGAACTGTTCCCCCAAGGTTAAAGGGGCTAGTGCTTGAAGCTAACCTCTTTATCTCCGTCTAGTGCTGAGGTCAAGAACGGTGGAGCTATACCTACATTCTCCCATATGTCTTCATGGCATAGTGCTTAATTGATTAAGCACTGGGACAACTTTATCTTTTTTTACCTTCCGTTGTTTTTGTTATTGTCGTCATTATTGTTACTATATCCTTACAGAGAGCAGAGTTTAAAATACCATTTAAATTTTTATTATGTATGTCTGTTATACAGGGTACACAGTAGCATAGTAGTTAAGGTACTATGCTACAAGCCGGAAGGTTGCGGCTTCAAGTCCCGATGAGGTCATTGGATTTTTTCAATTGACCTAATCCTTCCGGTCACACTAGGCCCTGGCGTTTACTCAGCCTCTAACAGAAATGAGTACTAGGAATTAATTAAATGATTTTCCTGGGAAGTGAAGTGTGGCCAGCGCGTAAGGCTGATAACCTTATCGCCATCTTTGAGCCAATTGTCAAGTAGTGTGGGACCCTTAACGTCTCACAACCCTATGGGCCTTCACGGCCTGTTACAGGGATAGCCTTTACTTTTTTTTACTTTTTACTTTATGTCTGTTATAGATTATACATGAAGTGAATTTGTGACAGTTTACACATGCAAATATTGATGTGCAGGGTCTTGTGGCTGTTTGTGACACAATGGAGGAATGCTGGGACCATGATGCTGAGGCACGGCTCTCTGCCTCGTGTGTCGTGGAGAGAGTGGCGCTACAGTCTCGCTTACTACCGATTCCTGTTACCACGATCAGAATGAGCCCTCTTGTCGGTGAGACTCCACATAAAGAGTCCAGCATGTAGAAAGCTCAGCATACTATGTGTAAGTTAAAGTTATCTCTGATGTTGTGTAGCTTTTTGCATCCTCACTGTATTTGGGAGAAGGGTGAATAGTATTGAAATTCTGGTCATAGGTGTTATCAGGTTTAGCCCAGAGTTTGTTACAGTGCTGTAATGGTGACTGTTTTATTCAGTAAAATGAAAAGGAATCGGCCATAAATGTATGCAAATTTGAGGTTGGGCAAATCTACTGTGCAAGCATTGACCAAATAGCCTCAGGGTTAAGATGCCAAGCATGCATTGACCTGTGTAGCCTTGTAGATCTGGTGTCATCTTCTGGAGGTTTCTTGAGAGAGCAGATGAGAGGCTTTCATGATTTTCTGAGACAAAAAAAACCCACCTCCCTGTTTATATTATTGGGATGGAACTTAATCTCAATGACCTCCCAAAGATGTGATCCCTGTACTGGGTCTTGGTAGCGAGGATGGAGGTATTATGGAGCTGAATATGGTGTCCCAAGTTGACGCTGTGTTCAGCCAGGTCTGACTTGTCTGGATGCTCAAGACGAATGTGCTGCTGATGCTCCTTCAGCCTCGTGTCCACAAAATGGCCTGTCTGCCCATTGTAGACCTTGTTGCACTCTCAGGGGATTCTGTATACACCTTGAGTCCTTAGTCCCAGGCTATCCTTGACTGGCCTGAGGAAACTAGATACTTTCTTGGGAGGTAGGCCCACAGATTTGATGTTGTGTCAGGTCAGCACTCTGCTGATTCAGTTGAATATTGTCCCGACATAGGGCAGGAAGGCAACTGAGTTCGGATTATCTTTGGGCTGACTGATGTTTGGACGATGGTTAAGGACTCTGTAGATCTGCCTGGGGATCCTCCTTCCACATAATAAGTTGCCAAGTATGGGTGTGGTACTCTGCACTGTGAGGCTCTGGATCCTCAGTTCAATGCCTCCTGCTTGATGTGTCATAGAATGAGGAATTTTGTGATGTTATTTATGAAGTATGATGCCTGATAGTTATAATTGCCATTCATTGCTGTTGCATAAGCAGCTGACTCAATTGATTACCCCTTATTCCAGTTTTGTTCACATGCTTATTACTGTGATTCCAAAGAATGATGCTTTATCCTAACTCTCTCTGATTTGTGTTGTTTTGGAAAACAGTATTTCACATGACCTACACCTCCATGGCAGTCAACCCAAGAATCAGGTATCGCAAAACTTTTGCTTAAGTAATAAATACAAAACAGTTGTTTTGAGACTCAAAATGGACTGTGTGGTGAAAACAAATTTTTGTGTAATATCTCACAGTTGATTCACAGGGATTGGAACTCTTCTTCCGCTGTACCTGTTTCTACATCATCAAAGAAGGGAGTTTGTCAGTGTATGATTTTCCCTTATAGACATCATTAATAAAGTTTATCTGTTCATGGCAGATATATTCTGGGTGTTCATTAGTAGTAAGTTACATATCTAGTTTGTAAGTAAAGTAATGCTATCCCTGTAACAGGCCGTGAAGGCCCATAGGGTTGTGAGACGTTGAGGTTCCCACTTTATCTAGACAGTCGGCTCAAATATGGCGGTAAGGTTGTCAGCTTTACGCACTGGCCGCACTTTACTCCCCAGAAAAATTATTTAATTAATTCCTGGTACTCAGTTCTGTTAGAGGCTGAGTCGACCCCAGGGCCATAGAGCGGCCGGAAGGATTAGGTCAATTGAAAAAAATCCAGTGACCTCATCAAGACTTGAACCCGTGACCATCCGGCTTGTAGCATAGTGCCTCGACCAACTACACTACAGTGTGCCCCATATCTAGTTTGTACCAATTCTAAAATCCTCTTACTGTTAGCACTGCTGGTAAGTTATCAGATATAGAGCGAAACACTGAATCTGTAATCAGGTAAACTCATTGTCCATGATAGTTTTACAAACTAGAAAGAATAAATTAGTATTTGTGATGAATTTCATTCACTCGGTTGGATTTGGGGTGGTCATAGCACTAACTATGAAGAGTCTGTTTTCAGGGATATAATGCCAAATAAGCAAGATTCAGAGTACTGCTTGCTTCTTGCTGGTTCCTTGGCTTACTCCTTCACCCAGATGGAGTCAGTAGATTCCTCTGAAACATCAGTAAACCTCTACCAGACTGTGCAGCATTGCATCCCAGGCTCTGAAATCTGTATAGTGTTCATAATTTGCTGGAGGTCTATATTTATGTGGCATGATGGTGTAGGAGGATGGAGAGGATCAGTTTGGATTTAGAAGAGGAAAAGGAACCAGGGATGCAGTTGGGATGATGAGAATTATAGCAGAACGAACTTTGGAGATAGATGAACTCTGTGCTTGCTTTATAGACTGGCAGAAGGCATTTGACCATGTAAATTGGACCAAATTAATTTTAGATCCTAAAGGAAACAGGTATCGATTGGCGTGAAAGAAGATTGATTAGTAAATTGTACATGGATCAGAAAGTTAGAGTACGACTGGACAGAGGGGAGACAAGAAGTGTGCAGATTGGAAGAGGAGTTCGACAAGGATGCTGTTTATCACCAATTTTGTTCAACTTGTACAGCGAATGCCTTACCAAAGAAGCTCTGGATGGGCTTGGAGACTTCAAATTAGGAGGGCAAATTATTCAAACTGTGAAATATGCAGATGACCTTGTGTTAATGGCTAAGGAAGAAACTGTGCTACAGGGTATGATTGATAGACTAATCGAAATTGGAAGGTGCTATGGCATGGAAATGAATGTGGAGAAAACAAAAGTAATGAGAATTTTGAGACAGCCAACCCCAGTCACAATAAAGATAGACCAGAAACAACTGGAGAATGTGAAATGTTTTGAATATTTGGGTAGCTTGTTAACATGATGGAAGGTGTACGTGTGAAATTAAATCTAGGATTACCATGGCAGAAGCTGCATTTAACAAGAAGAAGAGTTATTTTACCAGCAAATTGGACTTAAATTTGAGAAAGAAACTAGTGAAATGCTACGTTTGGAGCATCGCTTTGTATGGGGCTGGAACTTGGACACCTAGGGCAGTAGATCAGAAACAGCTGGAAAGCTTTGAAATGTGGTGTTGGAGAAGGATGGAGAAGATCAATTGGACTGATTATGTGAGAAATGAAGAAGTGTTAATTAGAGTCAGTGAGCAGAGGAATACCCTACACGAAATAAGAAAACAGAAGGCTAATTGGATTGGTCATGTTTTATGCAGAAACTGCCTTCTAAAAGAAGTTATTGAAGGAAAGATAGAGGGGCGGATAGAAGTGACCAGAAGACGAGGAACAAGACGTAAGAAGATGCTGGATGACCTTGGGGACAGAAGAGGATATTTTCATTTGAAGGCGAAAGCTCTAGATCGCATCAAGTGGAGGAACTGTTTTGGAAGAGACTGTGGACCTGTCATCTTGACAGATTACAGATGAGTGAATGAATGATGGTGTAGCAATTCAGGCAGATCCTTGTTATTTCTGTTGACACAGATGTTAGACGGCTTGCTTTGTTTCCAGAAGTTCCATAACCAGTCTGAAAAGTTTCAAGTTATGACAATGCCTGCTATATAAATTACGGATTTAAAGGTAAAAATGATGGTATATTTCATTTATGTTCAGATGCATACAATTGTATGAATTGTGTACAGTGGATGGGTAACATACTTCTTCTTCACTAGTACTTACTTATTTACTCATGGAGCTGAGCCCTTCTTGAGAAGCCGCCAATTCTGCAGCTACTCAAGAATTTCCCAGCATTTTATGGAACCCAAAGGTTCATTACCATGTTCACAAGAGCCCTCCACTGGTCCCTATCCTCAGCCAGATCAGTCGAATCCATACCATCCCATCCTGTCTCTCAAAGATCCATTTTAATATTGTCCACCCACCTATGCCTTGGTCTTCCCAGTGATCTCTTTCCTTCTGGCTTTCCCACCAATATCCTATATGCATTCCTCGTTGCCCTATTCGTGCTACATGCCATGCCCACCTCATCCTCCTTGACTTGATCATTTTAATTATTCTTGGAGAAGAGTACAAGTTANGGCAAGCATTACCCGAGTTCAATCTCCTCTTAATTTCCTGTGAATCAGGTTTTGATCTCTTATCGTTGTTCACAAATATCTGAACTGTGCCACATTTTCAAAACATCTGTTTCCTATCTTTATATCATGATTTCGCCCTGCATTTTGGTGACAAGACAGCAACATATACTTAGTTTTCTCAGTGTTTACTTCTAGACCAACCTCTTTACTTGCATCGATTAAAGTTTGTATGTTTTTCTTTATGGTATCTACATAATCACCCAGTAGATTCACATCATTGGCATAGGCCAACAGCTGATGTGCTCCATTTAATTTAAGTCCCACTAGGTTTCCCTGGACCTTCCTAATGGCATATTCTAAAGCAAAGTTGAAAAGGATTGGCGATAAAGCATCTCCTTGGTTTACACCATTCTGGATAAGAAATTTATCAGACAAATGGTTACCTATACAGACTTTACTGTACGTTTTGTTTAAACACATTTTAATCAACCTAACTAGTTTCGTGGGGATCCCAAACTCTATTAGCATATTGTACAATACTTCCCTCCTAACCGAATCATAGGCTTTCTTGAAGTCTATGAATAGTTGATGTACTGTCTCATTGTACTCTCATTTTTCTCAAATATCTGACGAATGCAAAATATCTGATCTGTAGTTGATCTGTTACATCGAAACCCACACAGATGATCCCCAATAATTTCATCTATATATGGACTTAACCTTGAGAGAAGAATATTGGATAACATTTCGTATGAAGTTGATAGCAGTAATATCCCCCGATAGTTACTACAGTCAGTACCCTTCTTGTGAACTGGTACAATAATAGACTCCTTCCACTGATCAGGCAGTTTTTCGTTATGCCAAATAGACGTAATTAGATTGTGGATCTTAGAATGTAATATTTCACCTCCTGCTTGAGTAAGTTCTGCCGGAATTGGATCACTATCTGACGATTTATACCGTTTCAATTTTGCAATAGCACTTTCAACCTCAAAAGGGCTAGGATCAGTTGCTAATGGCTCAGCTGTATGTCTTTCTATCTGCCTAACATCACTGACCCTATGTACATTCAATAACCGTGAGAAGTTGTTCCTCCACCTATTCAAGACGTTGTGGGAATCTGCAAGCAGATCACCATTCTCATCCTTCACTAAGTTACTGCTAGGCTGGTAACCCCTCCTAAAGTTATTTATTCCTCTATACAGGTCCCTTATGTTCTTGTTCTTACTGTTCATTGCAAGCTGTGATATGTGCAGCCAGCCATAATATTAAAAGCCCTATGGACTTTGCCCTCAGAGTGCATTTATAGGTTTCATGTGGTTCTCAGAATAAACAGCAGGTATTTCCCCATGCACCAGTAACTTGATGGTGTTCTTAATGGAGACACAGTGTATTTTCTGTCAGGTGGGAACTGAATTCTTATATATTAATTTATTTTAATTTCATGTTTTTGATGGTTAAATTAGTTTTTATTCTGTGTTGTTACCTTTATATTTTGGTTACTGTTGCACTGAGCTTTTGGATAATATAGCTGAAGGGTCGGTCACCTGTAGCATTACACATTTTATCAGAATTATACATCATAATCCATTTTGATCCTAATTTGAATGAAAATGTTGAAATGCATGTTTTATTTCTACAGTATTTTACTTTTCTTCTAGGCACACCAACATTAGCAAAGAAAATATACCTTTTTGTATTACAGTAATTTTATTTATTTTCTGTAAACATGTGGTCTGTCACTTCCCTAACAGATAACAGTATCACATGCAGTATTACATTCTTTTAAAATGTATTATCGTTTGATGTGTACTTATAACTAATATAACTCTTCTTTTCTAGTGGATCTTTTTTATCGAGTACCTGCACTTCATCTACAGTACCTGGAACAGAGAAACACGTTTGTTTGTACATGTTAACAAGATGGGGAAACCTGCCAGTGCTGTTGTTACCTCCATATATTCATTCATTTCTTCATTCTTGAACCTGTGCCAATTGAAAGTTAGTTATCTTGTACAGACGAGATGGTGTATTAGTTTCGTTCAAGAGTTGTCATGTCATTCAGTGCACTGTGCTGTGTGGCCCCATGGGTAACTGTCAGGCAGTTATTGTAAAGGATTGGAATTGAGATGCAACATATCCTACTGCTAAGAAAAGTAGACGGAAGTGTGACAGAGTAGCTAGATGGTGAATGTCAGACAGCCACATTATGTGACGGTATACTAGTTCTTACATTAGGTACATAACTTCTGACTACTAACTATATGTTATGAGTGGATATATTGTAAAATTTGTAATATATGTGTTTCAAATTTTATTTGTGCCACTTAATCATAATTAATTATTATCAGGAGCATTATATATGTTGATAGTGTGCCTGTGTGACATTCGAGTTTAATATCCGTTACTTAAGGCTTGTCATTTGCTACTTTCACAGGAGAGAGGCGTGTTAGGATTAAATGGTAGATGGAGTAAATTTTTTTTTTTTTTTTTTTTNATGTTCTGCTTCCAGTGTCAAGTTGCACTGCACGTGGCCTCCTTGCATATAGTGTAACCGTAGTTGGATGTGAAAGAAACTGTGAGATCTCGTCGGGTTGGTAGGTTTTGCACAATGTTGTGACATTTTTAGAGCAGTTTAGATGGCTTTGTTTCTTAATATTAGGAGATTCGTGAAATCTGTATCATGATATGCATTTAATTTGAAATTCGCAGCCCATGGTATTACTAGTGTGACTAGTTCTTTGAGGCCCAACACCTACCAGCCCAGCATCTCTGAGTTGCCCATTCATTCCTGCAAAGGGCAGCTGAAGTGACAAGTGACTACATGAAATAAATGTCCTGTGACAGGATAAAATATTATTCATATAAAGCTCACGATTGTTTTAGTTCGAGAAAGTGCTCCTGTAATAGCATTGGAAGATTGATTATAATGGACATGGTTCAGAGCTTCATTTTAATCTGGTAAACCATAAGTTTAGGTTTTTATAGTTATTTTAAAAGTATGGAACATTTATTGTTGTACGTATATAAAATAGTCAATCATCTCAGGTTTTTAAAAATAGTTTAACACAGTTTTGCTTTGTCTTGCAACTTACACATGCTGTCTTCTTTGTTTACTCCTCCGATCATTATTATTATTATTATTATTATTTGGTTTATAGCAAGTAGTTTAATAGACTATCGCCATGAAGTTTTTTTTTTTAAGTGTAATTCCCAAGTTCACAAAGACAGTGAAAGGGATAAATTTAAAATATCTGAACAAATAGTTTATGAACTGCACCACTGAAAAACGTTACGAAAGGCCATGTTGTCAGATGGGTTGTATTTGTACAGACAGATTCATTGTTAAGGTAAACGTGTAATATCTTTCCCTCACATCTGTCCTTTTAGCCATTTTAATGTTTCATTTTCCTGCAAGTTATGCATATTCTGAATG